GGGGGAAATGATATATAAAGCAACACTGGAAACAAAAAGTGAAATTAAGGGCAGAAATAAAAATTAATTCCTTTAATATTTAAAGACAAATGTGAACAAGGATCAAAGCCCTGGAGAAAGGACATCATGCCTGGTAAAGTAGAGGGTCAGCCCACAATGACCGTGAACCCTCTGCAAGATGGACTGAGCCAGTGGCCCCAACGATGGGATCAACCATAGCAAACACTGTGAAGACGACGCAGGATTGGGAAGTATTTCGTTCTGGGGTACAGAAGTCACTTGCCCTGGAACCTGCTTGGCGACACCTAACAATAGACGACCTTGGGCCTCTGGGCAGGAGCCCTGGGGGTGTTTTGTGTACATATGTACGTACATACGGTTGCTGTGAGTTGGAACAGACTCCAAAGCCCCCATCTACAACAGCAAGTCCTTTTAATTCGTCTGAGCGAGCTGGCTTCCTTATCTGCCAAATGCCTATGGCGATGCCTTCCTGGTTCTCAGGAATGCTGTTAGGGTCAGCGCCAAGCACGTATGTCTCCATTCTGATGGACGACAGACAGTAATGTGATCGTGTCTGCCAAACTCCATCTTGGCGTCAGAGATGGAGCATGGGACTTGGAATTGCACATTTCTCCCTTCCTAGGTGTGTTTGCCATCTCTGTTCCTTGAGATGCTGCCCACAGCAGACGTGGGACGTTGAACCGACTTGACAAGAGCCCGGGAAGGGCTCTGCATGGACTGCATGACTCTGTCTCGTTCCTGAATCCGTCATCCTTCACAACCCTCCTGACAAGGAGTCTTGCTGGTGGGACAGTTGACGTCACCACCCACTGCGGGGTCCTACTGCAGTGTGTGTGAGAGATCGACACCACCCACTGCGGGGCCCTGCTGCAGTGTGTGTGAGAGATCGACACCACCCACTGCGGGGCCCTGCTGCAGTGTGTGTGAGAGATCGACACCACCCACTGCGGGGCCCTGGTGCAGTGTGTGTGAGAGATCGGTTGATTCCTTCCGCTCCGCCCGACCACATTCAGTTTGTTTACACCGAGCATCTCTGTGCCTTTCCTTTCGATTACATCCGTATTGAGTCTATGGCTCTTAGTCGGAGGAGAGAATTCAAACATTTTCTTGAAGCTAAATGTATATTTTGATCCTGTCTTGTGTAAAAGAAATATATCTATGCACATATACCCATAAATATGTCTGTGGACCATTTTTGCACATACACCTTACCAACTGTCATGTGCGTCCCTGTGCAAAGTGGCGGCAGAAGAGAATTTCAAAGATACACCAAAGTGCACCAAACGTCTATTTGCTGTCTCCGCGTGTCACCGATAATCAATTCATCACCACTTACTTAGTGTCAATAATTGCTCATTCATGTGAACCTTGAAGGAGACTTTAAATTTTCATTTGTTATCTATTAACATTTTTCCTGCTATCTAAATAAACAAAACCCTCAAACTGAAACTCATGGGCACCTTGTCAATTCTGACTCACAGTGACCCTGTACAACAGAGTAGACCCATAGAATTTCCAAGCCTTTAAATCAGTACAGACACACACTGCAGGAGCTTTCTCCCAGGGAGCAGCTGGGGTAGGGGCTGGAGTCGGGGTGGGGGGGGGGGTATGTCCTAACATAACTGAGCACTTTAACCACTTCGCTACTGGGGTGCCTTTACAGCCTCAGCATACATTGTTTTGATAATAAAAAGCTTAACAAAGGAAACCAGAGAAAACATTACAAAGGAATACGAGGTGTGAGGCTTTTCTTTTCCTGCCTGCAAACTCATCTTTTAAGGCTGGGGGACCAGCCTGCTTTTCCCTGGTCCCTCGATCCCCAAGGACTGAAGCTGGTGGAGACAGTACATCTGGTCAGGACAGCAGCGCTGGCTTAACGCACATCGATGTCAGCACCATCGTTCCAGGCCCACACTGCCGGCCCCATGGCTTGGCTAGCTGTGTTTTTAAACTGAAGTGTGTACTTTGGCTGAAATTTGTGACGCTGTTTTTAAATGAGAATATGTCCTTTCACTCTCCCTCTTTCTCCCTTGAGCTCTACAGTCCTCTGCAGTTCTCTGTAGGCTATTTTTTAATTTTACAAGAGAACAATTTCTACACTTCTTATCTCCGATTTTGTAGGTATTCTTAACACCCGCCAAGTCATGTTTGTTCTGCTAGGGTGGGGAGAGGAAGCTGGCTGATGCAATTTCAGCAGCTCCTTAGCCGGACTGGACAAAATCACCTTGACGCTTGTTCGGGATGAATGATGGGAAGGGGGCTTTTGTATTTAAATTCCTGAGTGTGGGGGGTGGAAAGGGCAGCAGGGATAAAGGGTCATTCTAGCCTGTGCCCTTGGCGGATGAATTCAGACTAGGTGGTGGTTCGGTATTCTGGCCCTGGCCTCTCACAATGCCGAGTGTGCAGCGCACCTGAATTCGTTTCCACATTCATAGGGATCTTGTCCTATCATGTGCTGTTATATGGCTGTAAATAAGCAACCCTCCTGCGTTGTTGTTGTTAGAGTCGATTCCCACCCATAGTGACTCTATGTGGCACAGAAGGACACACTGCCTGGTCGGGCAACCTCCTCACGATTGTTCCCATAACCAAGCCCATTGTGGCGGCCACTGTGTCGTGCCATTCCATTGAGGCCATCTCCTTGAGGGCCTTCCTGGTTTTTGCTGCCCCTGTACTCGGCCAAGCGGGATGCCCTTGTTCTGTAGCACCCTGATGGGCATGAGCAATTCACAAAGGACAGTAGTCCAGGCTGGGAGAACAGGACCTTATTTTTTTTAAAACCATGGGAGGCTAGGACAATTTTAAATGGAGGTATTGCTTAAAGTGGCCCATGGAAGGACCAGTAGAGCTATTCTCATCATTGATGGCAAAAGGGGGGAGTTTTCCATTGAAGTTGTTTTAAGTAGCATCTGGAGCAGAGGCCTGGTAGGAGGCGGCATGCTCTGGAAATGGAGGCGAGTTTGGTGTGTCCATCGTGCCAGGCGGGCGTGCTTGTGGTGGGGAGGTGGAGAAGGATGGAGGAACTTTGAGAAGAGGCCAGAGGTCAGGGCGGAAGGTCGTAGAGCCTTGGATAGCGAGATGCTTATGGTCCTTTAGTGTTCCCTCCCATCCAAATGGACATAGCTTCCGGGTGAGGCGGTGGTGATCCTCAGAATCAACCTACCTAAAGCAATCAGAGCAGAACCCAGAAGCGAGCTAGCCCCATGGGAAGGTCAGCCTCGGTTCCCTCTGCTGGGATGCAAGCCCCACAGAGGCAAGGAGCTGGGCATATCTTCTGAACCGCGTCTCTAGTACCTGGAACAATACTTAATAGGCTTATAGTAGATGCTCAATAAATCTCTGTTAGATGAATGAATGCATGTGCAAGTATGCTGGACCCTGAGCCATCTGTGATGGAGAAAAGCCGGCTTCTACAGGTTGCCTGTTTTGGACGCTGGAATCAATAACTGCACGGCTAGAGAGAGAAGAGGAAGGGATGAGGCGGGGACGGGTCGTGGGAGAGGTTTTCTCATCCCCTTGGGTGGCTTGGGAGCTCGTAGTTGGCTGAGGTTATTCCCCCCACGTTTCTGGGTCTGAGGTTAGCATGACTGTGTGGAGGCTCTGCGTTGTGATGGGACGGACGTTACCAACTGTCAGAGGCTACTTTAATGGCACCCTGGTCCATTCTGAGTTTCCATCTTGTTCCCACTCCCTGGAATGGGTGGCATAGTTGTGTTGTCGTCGGTCTTGCTAAAGTGATTGCTACGTTTTCTTTCCAGGCTCCGGCTCCACGAAGAAAAGGTGATCAAAGACAGACGGCATCATCTGAAAACCTACCCCAACTGCTTTGTGGCCAAAGAACTGATCGACTGGCTGATCGAGCACAAGGAGGCTTCCGACCGAGAGACGGCAATCAAACTCATGCAGAAGCTAGCAGACCGGGGCATTATTCATCACGGTGAGTGAGTGGCGGTCAAGGTGACTGGAGAGGAAATGAAGGACCCTTCTATTCCTGACAGCAACCTACACATTTATGAAATAGGAAATCATTACGGTGTGACCTCCCTCGTACTTCAACTCAATCACATCCCCCTCTTCTCCTCCAAGGGTTATTTGTGTTTATTTTAATGTATTTCTTCCTCATCCGTTTACTTTCTGGGTATGCATCTCGAAACCATGTGTGGCATGACTTTGCATACTTTCTTGAGAAGCATGTGTTCTTTGCCCCTTGATCAGCCCCTGGTGTTAGGGTCCCCAGTTCACTTTCACTGCCTACAATAGTCCATGTATGGGCATGCTGTCACGCCCCCTTAGCCGTGCTGCTTATCCAGGCTTCAAAGCTGCGGGCATAGAGCCGGTTTCAGAACTGTTGCTGTTGCTTATAAGGCAATGAATGTTCAAGAGCATGTTCCGTTGAAGTCTTAGACCGCAGCCAAGGCCTGGGTGCTTGCATTGTTCTCTGGATTGGGGATGCCCTGTCTCCCTGTTGTCGCCCAGCTTGCACTCCTCCTTTAGGCCTCTGAGGTGGCTTTTCTTCTCATCACATCATATTGTCATGGCGTGGGGACATTTCTCTTTTTATCGCTAGATTGATTTTTTTTTAAACCAATGCCTGTCCCAATACGAGGCTCAAGAAAGTTGTGTGTGGATTGAATTGACTTTTATGACTCTCTTAATAGAGGATGATGATGATGATAGCTGACTCTAGTTAACAACACTGTCTAGCACTCAATTCTGTTTTAGGTTTTCTATATATGCATAAGTAGATATGTATGAACTAACAGAAGGATCTATGTGCTTGAAAAGCGAGCTGTTGAAAAATTGTTCCTAATTAGCATCTCCTTTCACTTGAGTAAGTACGAGTGACCCCGAACCCCACCTCCTGCTCACTGTATGTTCTGTGTATGTTGTGTTGCAGTGTGTGATGAACATAAGGAATTCAAGGATGTCAAACTCTTCTACCGCTTTCGAAAGGATGATGGCACCTTCCCTTTGGACAACGAAGTGAAGGCCTTCATGAGAGGACAGAGGCTCTATGAGAAGTACGTTCCCATGGTATCGCCTGACGATGACCTTGACTTGTAGACAGGAGCAGGGCTCTTTCAGTCTGAGCTTCTGATGGTTTCAGCCTGGCTGTTCCTTGATTACATAACTGTTGTTTTTAATATGAGGAAACTATCATTTGCTTTGCTCATTGCCAGAAATAAAGTTAATTCCCTAAGGTTCTTAATAAAGAATCTATTTAAGTGTTTTTTTCTGTATTGAAGCCAACTGAACCAAACTCCAGGCATGAAAACAGAAGGGCGGAGCCAAGTGTTTGCCACCGTGGTATGGATGCCCTTCTCCTCTTTAAATGCTCTTGTCATAAAACAAGCCGGTTTGGTTTTGGGAAATAGCTAGAGAAGTTGTGTCTGGTGCACGGGAAGTTCAGGGTCAGGTCAAGGGATAAGTAGTGAGCAGACTTCAAAGAGCAGCAGGTTGTGTAAGAGGAATGACCTTTTTTCAGCCCTTTTGGAGAGAGGAGTAGGGGTGGCTTTGGACCCTTCTTTTTGTCAGTCTCCTTTGCCTGTTTTTGTTTGTTTGCTTGTTTCTTTGTTTGCTTTTTGTACTCTCCACCTCCCACGTCAATTCTGGTACAGTGAATCACTTCACATGTCCCCCTAGCCCTTGTCACTTCCCCCAACCTCTTACTAATTATAGTTCTCAACAAATGCAAATACAAAGCTTATGCCCACCAAGGGGGTTGGAAAGCGTGCTAATTATGTAAATAAGATACATGGCACCCTTGCTGAGAGTGGGATCATGCAAATAAGATAGATGGGCCTGGAGCCAGGGAATTGGCCAGCTTTTCTATCCTGCTAGTCTTACAGTCAGCCACGCTATCCCAGAGACTGAAAGGGCACTCAGGACCACCATGGAGGAAGAGCCAGGAAGAGAGGAGGGGATCTCTGTGCTGGGAATCTGCTAGACCATGAAGACATGGAAGGCAGCGAGCGATGGCAGGAACCAGGAGACTGGCGGGTGCCAGCTCCCAGAGAGAAAGCTGTGTGCCTTTGGGCCGGATGCATGCAGGCAGAGTAGGGCACCCAGGGCACGTGATAGTGTTAATTTTGTGAAAATGTGGAACTAGAACTGCGTGCTTTTGGGTCAAGACTTTCTGGCCGAGTGGGGTGCCTCTGGGCACTTACTGTCAGAGCTACAAGATCTTTTTTTAAAAATCATTTTATTGGGGGCTCGTACAATTCTTATCACAATCCATACATATATTCATTTTGTCAAGCACATTTGTACATTTGTTGCCCTCATCATTCTCAAAACATTTGCCTTCGACTTTAGCCCTTAATATCGGCTACAAGATCTTTTTAACACTTGCATGAGCAGAGCAGAGGTCAAGCTGAGTAGCGGAGGGGCAGACGGAGAAAGACAGAGAGACTGAGACCTGCCTGCATCACAGCTCCAAAGATTAAAGAGCTGTATCCTGAGTATTCCTGAACCTGAATTGTGACCTATAATTTTCCTAATAAACCCCATAATTTTGAGTGTTTGTTTGAGTTGTGTGTGGCCATTGCAGAGAAGTAGCCAACTCAGTAAAGAAGGAGAGAATAGTGTGGAAGGGCTGATTGGCATCAGAACTGCTAAGTAGGATGGAGAGTGGAGACATGTCTGACCTCTACCTCCTAGGCATCAGCCTCGGGCTGTTGGTCTTGATCCTCCTCCCTGCCTCATGAAGTTAGAGAAGGTCAGGCGCCTCTGTCCCTGCACCATTTTAACAGTGCAACATTTGAGCAGGAGGGGAATGAGCAGTGGGACCCCTTCCCTAACTCTGGTTGCTCTTCAGACTTGCAGGAGTGAAAACTTGCTTATCGTTCACATACATGAGCCACTATGCTGAGGGTGTTAGCCTTGGTGGCGTGGGGGGTTATACATTGGGCTGTTAACCACAAGGTCAGACATTCGAAACCACCAGCCCCCCCCCCACAAGAGAAAGATGAGGCTCTACTCTAAAAATGATTTACAGTCTCAGAAATCCAGAGGGGCAGTTCCACTTGGTCCACGGGGGTCTCTGTGAGCTGGCAGTGACTCGATGGCTGTGAGGTTTCTGTTGTTGTTTTATGGGGGGCGGGGGGCGGGCTGGGAGCAGGTGATCAGATGACTGGGATTCCAGACTTTGGAGCTGTGCCTGGTTTGTACTCTGACCATGATGCTTTCCCTTCTTAAACCTCGGTGTCCTCCTCGGGGAAATGGAAATAGTCAGAATGTTGACCGTCTACAGCTGCTGTGGGAATTACAAGAATGAACGGTGTCAAGTATGTGAGCCTTAGCGCCGTGTCCCAGAGTGACTTGTGAGCCGAGACCTGACTCTGTTCAGGTGTCTGGAAAGAGGATTGCAGGAAGAGCAAGCGGAAGAAGCCAGGGCTTTGAGGTGGGACTGTGGGGGGCATATGTAAGGATGGTTAGAAGACCAGCGTGCTTGGAGGGCGGGGCGTGGTGGGAGAACAGCAGGAGATGGGTTGGGGCTAGGCGATAGAGGGTTTTCCTGTCTGAGGGTGAATTGAGGATCTTGTTTGACGTATATTGGGGAGGGGCAGTCCGATGTGTGGTTCCCAGCCCCTGTGCCTTCTGTCTGGAAGGCCCCTGCAGTCGCTCTTTGTCTTTCCATAGCTCTCAGTCGTTCGTGGAAAATGGCACGCAATGCGAGTGGAATAACAGACGTACCACAAACAAAATTTTATTTCCTCGCAGTTTAGGAGGCTGGAAGTCTGAGTGTAGGGGGCAGCTCTGGGGGCAGGTGCTCTCTCTGTGGGCTCTGGAGGAGAGTCCTGGTCTCTCTGAACTTCTGCTCCTGCGTGCATTCCCTGTAGTGCGGAGCCTCTCCGCGCCACACCTCTCCTCTGCTGCTCTGTTTAACCTCTTTTGCATCTCAGACGAAGTTGACTTAAGATATGCCCTACACAAGTCCTCCCTCATTAACATAAGGAAGACAACCTCTTCCCAAATGTGGACGTGTGGCCACAGGCAGAGGGGCTGGGATTGACAACACCTGGTGGGTGTTTCAGCGAGTTCCTGGGGAAAATGGGAATCTTTCCACAGACTTTTTTGAAGTTCCCTCGTACGTTGGGTAGGGAGATCTTCCGGGCGATACACTCACTCTGACCTCTCTTGACGTCACACGAAATGCAACCTTCTCTGGAACCCCCCTCCCCTTCTTTTTATTAGTTTGGGGATGCCCTTACATGTTTATCCCATTACAGAGTTGTATTAAAATTTCTTCTCTGACCATTTCCTATAATAGACTCTAAACAACATTCGAGTTAGGAGCCCGGGTAGTGTGGTAGTCACGCACCGGGCTGAGATCCGCAAGGTCGGCAATTCGAGACCACTAGCCGCTCTGCAGGAGAAAGACAGGGCTCTCCATTCTCGTCGACAGTCACAGTCTCAGAACCCCGCAGGGGCTGCTTTGAGCCAGCTTCGACTCCATCCGAGTAAGAAACAAAAATGAGAGAAAAAAAGCCATGGCCATTGAGTCAGCTCCAAGTAGTGTGTCAGATGAGCACCACGCTCCGCAGAAGTTTCGTTGGCTGATCTTGGTGTGGAAGTCCATCACCTGGTCTTTTTGTCTGAAGCAGTTCTGTGCCCCACCTTCTGGTTAGCAACCGAGCACAGGGAGCGAACTATTTGCCCCATTTAGAAACAACCTAAGAGTCGGGGGGCTGCCTTCTCCTCTGGCTTACTGTCTCTCCTGTGACTGAACGCATGCCTGGGCGATTGCAGGTGGTAAATATTTGCTGTAAACAATGAACAGATCCCCAGACAAGTTGATCAATATCTCTCTGCTTTCCTGGGTGGAGTTGACTTTCTAACCATTAACATTCAGTGTTCCGCTTTCCAAGTCCATCGATTTATTCAGAATGCTTGTAAAAGTAGCCCTGGGGGGGAAAAAAAAAAGTAGCCCTGGGAAAAGGCTGCAAGCACTAACCGTGGATGGCCGAGCTGCAGCCCGGACAACCAGCTTCCCGTGGCTGGAACATGCGTGGAACACACTCTGGGGCCCTTGGAAGCAGCAGCTCAATGGAAGCTGCTTGATCATGTATGTCTAGTGGAGCCGCTGAATTCGATATGTATTTTCTAGGCTCGCTTTTCCATTCATCTTGGCATATCCTAGTAGTTTGTATGTTTTGGGGCACCTTTTCTTATCACATTAGCAAGTGAATAGTTGAGTTAATTTTAAATATTAAAGGTTCTTAATCCCTGCATAGTTGACCTCAAACCCTAATTTTGGCTATTTCTAATATTTGGGAAAGAAAGCCTTGCTCTCTTTTGATGTGCTCTGTTTGAGATTTTAATGGCGGATAATGTTAGTTGAGTTGGAATTGACTCAATAATAGCAGTGAGGTTTTTTTGTTTTGTTTTGTTTTTGCTGAGTCGGTATCAGATATTTCATCCTAACAACCCTTACATGCTATTCTTGTCCCCATGTTACCGGGGAGGGAAATGTGGGAGAGGTTAAATTTCTTGTCCAAGATCTCCTCAGTGCTGAGTCATTAAATAGGGATCTGAACCCAGGAGGTCAGAGCCCAAGCTTGTTGCCCCTAGGCTTTTAGTATGCCCTTGTCGGTTCCCCCAGTGGAGAGGAAATGAGTAAAGTCAATGTTTACTTAAAAAAAAAAAAAAAGTTTATTTTCAAATGTAACATGGATTATATAAGATACCAGGGTATTAAATTCCCTGCAAATAGCTCAGAAGTTTTAGAGTAGACATTGGAAACAAGATCTACCCTCATGGTGAATCTTCAGGATAGCCTAGAGTGGAGTCTGATGGGAGCTACCGCACCTTTTAGTTCTAAATGAAGTTGGTCAAAACCCTTGCACTAGATCAGTGATTCTCAACCTTCCTAATGCCGTGATCCTTTAATACAGTTCCTCATGTGGTGGGGACCTCCCAACCATAAAATTATTTTTGTTGCTACTTCATAACTGTAATTTTGCTACTGTTGTGAATTGGGTGACCCCTGAAAGGGTCGTTCGACCCCCAAAGGGGTCGC